CCTCCCCGCTCAAGAGGTGTCCATGTGTGAGACGAGTATGACCGATTCGTAGCCTACACAGTATGACTTCATAAAAGCGCTCCCGATGTCGGGCGCTCTCCCACTCGCCTAGAAGAGGTTTGATTGCATGTAGTTTGTTGCCGGCTCCGCCGTTCCACTGCAGCTGCCACTTTGCTTTGATGCAACGTTTCAGAGAATTGTGGTAATCTTAGTAGGGTATTTGGTGTGTGTCAATTTCTCTATTATTAGCAGAACTGGCTGCACTATCAGCTGCTTCATTTCCAGGAATGCCAACATGGCTAGGAACCCAGCATAAGACTATGTCAAAATTTTTCGTTGCAGCCAGGATTATCTTGTACTTTAACTCGGAAACCAGTGGGTTTTTTACACGGTTCATTGATGCGACAGCCTTCAGAGAGCTTAAAGAGTCGGTGTAGATTACAGCGTGAGAAAGGCGTTTTTTGATTATGTAATCAACAGCTAACAACAAACCATAAAGCTCTGCTGTTAGTATAGAGGCTTTTGAATTTATTCTCTTCACCTGATTTACCGATGGTCCCACCATAGCACAGCCTACTACGGAGTCTTTTTTTGTCCCGTCTGTATAAAAACTGGCATACTTGTGATATTTGGTCTGAAGCTCAAAGAAGTTCTGCCTTATGACTTCCTGTGGAACATTCTTTTTGTTATACTTGGTCAGTGTAAGGTCGCAATGTATCTGGCAGTTGTTCCATGGAGCTATATCCGGAGGGTATTGGACCAACTGAGGCTTTGCATCCATCCCAACGGATTGTGCTGCAGTATTATTCCTCATAGAAAAAGGGGGGACTGTGGAAGGTTTGTTTTCGAATATGCGTTGGAACTTGATCGTCTCAATATTATCTCGAACGGGGTGCTCCGCGACCGAGCGAACCCTGACAGAGTACATAAAACCTAGGGAAAACCTCCTATACTCCAGGGTATGTCGAGCAATACACATCGGGAATGGTTTTGCACTTTAAGGCCCTTCCAAGGAACAAGACTACTTATTCCAAGCAGTTTCAAAGGACAGAATACGCATAATATATTTTCCAGACTATAGTCCACAGACTACATACGTTTAAAAGTTGAAATTTTACCCACTGCGGACTATGTACAAGTGCGGACCATACAAAGTTTTGAAATGTTTTAAGATTGTTTAATGTGACAAGACGCGAAGTATCTTATAAGTAACAGAGTAAATTAGTGATTTATGTATGATACACGCTTGTTTGTCAGCCAACACAGCAGGAATTGGTCAAGGTGTGCTATGTACGATCATCTTTACGTTCGGATTAGGCACCAAATGCGGACTATGTGCCGCATGCGGACTAAGTGCCATGTGCGGACTATCTAAGCAAAACCTTTCATTTTTGACCCCTAATCTGCCCTTGCGGACTATACACCAGGTGCAGACTATAGCACGGAAAATATGGTACTGGCTTGCAAGTAATTACAAAGCAATGCTCCAAGCATTTTAAGAGCGTCTGTGGCAGCCAGCCGTTCGTGACGAGAGCTTAGAATGGGCCGTTTTGGAAAGAGGGGCTGCAACATTGCAAGTAACATGGTACAAAAAATGTGGGGTATATTAAAATATTTATTTTTGATAGAGCACTAAATAAAACACTTAAACACGCCGATCATGTTAATAGGCAGTTTTAACATAGCATTATCGCACGCTACCGTTGGCTACCGTCAGCACGGCAACGCTCCTGGCGCGCGCTAAAAATAGTGCTTTAAAGGCGCAGCGCGATCTTCCAGTTGCTATGCAACAGTGCACATTAGCCAGCGGTACCAAGCTTCCTATCCATAACCATAGAGCAGTTTGAGCACGTGTTGCAACACCCTAAAACCGAGACAGTGAGCAGCGAGTTGCCAGCCAGTGACACAAATACATCAATACTGTGATTCTTCCGCAACTTGATGGCCACCGTGCGCGGCTCACTTTTTAGAGCACTAGAGGCCAGGCAAGGCACAAACACAATATCACCCTCAAAAATATTTTGCCACAAACAGTGACGGTGCCGGTGCCTAAAATGCGCTCACCCACCACAAAGCTTCGCAAGTCGAGGTTTCTTTTAAATATCGGCATGCTCCTTTTCCCACCACGCATCAACACCTCCGTCCCCTATAGTATGATCCTGCCCTAACCGCATCGCATTTGTGGACATCATTTTTAGCACACCGACCAGCGTCAGCAGGCAGCCGCACATGAAATCCTGGATAATCTAAACTACCGCCCCGCCACCAATAGGGCGTTGGAGTTGCGAATAACGCATGTCTTGAACATCGAGTGAAACGACGGCAAAAAATGCATGGAGGTCACCTTCAGAATAGACACTTTCCGAAATTCAGTCTGCCCACACTGTGCAAAGCCAAACCCGACGCTACAGTGGATTAAAGGGATAGTGTAAGAAACACAACCGGAGAAGCGGCACAGCGTTGGAAGACGGCCGCGGGTGGCGCTGGCACTTGCAGCATTGTCGTTTTGGCTATGGCTCCGGTTCGGCCGCTCGGCTCCGGCCAGCTCTGGCCGATTCGCAGCTGTCGACTGTGTTGCGAGTCGCGTGGGCGCTTTGTGTGCATCACTTCCAAAGCGGGTGACGTTATTTCGGTCACCCGTGATCATCAGGGTGAGCCATGTTCACTGACGCAAAAATTTGTTTCAATGTAATAGCCAACTACTCTGACAGACGCTGGACCAGACGAAACAGATCGGCCTGGACGTGCGATGTAGGGTGCCTGCATCTGCCGGCCAATGAAGGCACCCTAACGGAGCTGCAGATCGAAGTGTCACCTACACCGTCTTCCGAGGAGCAGCCGTTCTCGATGCATGGTGATGGCTACGCAGCAACTACACTACGCCCTTTAAAGGACACAAGGAAAGGAAAATTTTTTTTAACAACCTGGTTGGGAAAAGGAAGTCATAAAACGAATTTACAGCAAAAAAGTAACATTTTTATAGCTATATTTAAGGCACGATACGAATTTGTTGTTGGCATTCGCGGGTGGCGCGGAAAAGTGGTCTCTACTTGTCACGTGACTGGTCCCTACTTGTCACGTCGTGCTTGCACCCTTTCAGAAGCCTCTAAAAGTAACTTCTTCATCTTTGCTTGAAGTATAACAAAAAATAAGGAAGACCAGCGGAGCTGTACTCGATACACTGCCGCAACGCGCCCGATTCCCACTTCTCGTCTGACACGCCGCCGATCGTAGATACGTTTCCAGTGAACCCGAATCGGTCGCACACGGCGCCCTGCAATTTCTTTCCATCTTGGGTTACCTGGCCCTTCCGCCTTCGAAATTCCGCCGGAATAGACCCTCTTCAAAAGTCACCTTGTGGCAGTCCCAAAAGCCCCAATATTGCCGCTCTAATGGCTATGATAGGAGGTCTTGCTCGGTTAAATCAAGCACCCTCGATTTCGCGTATCGAAGGTGACGTAAAAGGACCAACATCTTTTCAACGTCTTCGCACGTGACGCCAAACAGGCAATCCACAAACTCCCTCCGGAACCTCGCCATTAGCCCGGGAACTGTTCAGCCGGCGTGGAGTGCAGTCGTCGCCGGGCCTCGAGCTTGCGCTTGGCGTCCGTGGCACGATCGTCGTCCGTGGCATTGGACCGTCGGCGCCCTTTGCATCGCTGGTTCTGTTCTCGGCAGCGGCTTTCCAGGCGAGCGATGTGCTCTTTGGCAAGAGAATCTGAAGTGCTGGACGCAGTGAAAGTCGAGGCAACAACGGCTTTGCGGCGGTTGCAGACACATTCGCACTGCTGCGTACGTCGCCACTCCTTCCACAGCCTGTCTCCTTCCCCCGAAAGGGCGCGCGGCCGACCCATTGTGAGTCCAAACCGAAACTGATAAGAGCGTAGGAAACAGCGTGCAAAACAGACAAAGAAACAAACGTGACGAGCGCTGCACTCATTACGTGTGCTTCTTTTTCGTCGTCTGTTTTTTGCGCTGTTTCCTAGATTGCCGCCATTTACGAGCGACGGCGGAAACCATACTGGTTGTGTGCTTGTCACCAACGCTTATACATGGCGGTAGCTGTCTAGGCAGGTTTGTGGCGATATGCCCGACACGATCCTGAGGAACCTAGCCCTTAACAGCTCTCCTGTAAAGAGTAGAATTAATAAGTAACTTTTAGAGCCCAAAAAGAAACTCCCGAAAAAGTGTGAACAGACGTGATAGACCTGTGCACTGGTCAGATGACTGCGGCTGCGCCCAGAAGGAGATGGACTTGTGCAGCGCCGGTGACGGCAAGGTGACGAAATGTGTTGAAGCGGCGTCGCACAACGCTCAGCGTGCGGCGGCAACGTGACTTTGCGGCGACGGCGCACAGACCTACCCCGTGACCAGCGGCAACTCCTGCGGGCGCCAACTACAAATTCGGTCTGCGCCGTAAATATAGCTCTAAATTTTTTTTCTTCGTTGTAAATTCATTTTTCATAATCTTTTTCCACGTAGCCTGTTTAAAAAATAGTTTTTTCCTTCTCACGTGACCTTTAAGGCACTGTACCGACGCCCTAATGGCAGCAGTACACGGCTTCTCCACACCAAAAAAAGCGAGCGTCTTCGAAAGTAGAAAGCAGAAAGGGGAAAATATGTTTTTTTCTATTACGTCACCTTCGATACATGAAATCGAGGGTGCTTGATTTAACCGAGCAAGACCTCCTATCACCGCCATTAGAGCGGCAATATTGGGGCTTTTGGGACTGCCACAAGGATACATTTGAAGAGGGTCTATTCCGGTGGAATACCGAAGGCGGAAGGGCCAAGATGGAAAGACATTGCAGGGAGGGACACAATCCCTCATCTGGGTCATGAAGCACATCCTGCTTATCTGCTCCAAGGAGATGCCTGGCAAAAAAAATATTCTGTCTTCAGCCTCTATGTTGCTTTCCTTTGATCCCCGTAACTGTCCGAGTCCAATGGTAGCTCTGAGCACCAGGAAAGAGAGGAAAAGATCCAGAGAGAGGACTCACGAGGCCGCAGTTAATGGAGATGCCTTCCTTGGCCCGGACCCCCGTGGCTCCAGTCCGCTTGAGCCGCTCCGATCCGGCCAGGTCCACAAAGTGGAACTTGGCCATCAGGGTCTCAAACTCGCTCAAGGCCTCTCCACTGTCCTCCTCCTCCTCCGCACCTTCCAGCAGCTGGACAACAAAGAAAAACATTGGCCCTACCCTGCAGGTGTCTCAAGCCCTCTTTTCTTTCCATCATGCAATTTGGGCAAAAAGGCCGCTTCATCTCTCCCCTTTTCTTTTTCTCACCTTAACATGTTTAAAAAGATTAAAATCTCAGTGCTTGTCTCCTTTTTTATCTGCACTCTGGGCTTTTTTTTCTGTCACGGTCAATGTACACCAGCTCGTTCCCAGGTGAAAATTCCCATCAAGTTCCAACTGGAATTATCTTAATGCTTCCAAAAGGGTTTTTGGCCAACCAATTGGTCACTGCCCATGGGAGCCTACAGGAACCAATGAGAACCATTTGGAACCCATTCAGGTTCCAACTGGAAAAATAATTTCAATTGGTGAGACCCATTGGCCAGTGTGCTTTCAGTTGGAACCCACTACAACCAATTGGTTCCAGTTAAAACCTGTTGGAATTCCAATAGGATTTAATGGAAATTTTTAGCTGGGTTTGAACACTTACATTCAGTTCATTAATATTGTACAAAATGCAAACTTGCCACCCTTTCCACGAGTCTTTCTCGCTCGTTCTCTGGAAGCTTGGACAACAGATAGATGGAATCAAAGGTGTCGTACGTCGGTACGTTCCTCAGACACAGGTTTGTCGACTCAACACGGTTTGGTCATCTTGCGACTGTGGAAGTTCATAGGCACCGAAAAAAGAAAATCCTCAACGACTACCGGACCGGCACGAGAGAACAGCTTCAAACCGTCTCCACGACCAAATCTGGACCACTCTTACGGGAGAGACCACGAAGTAAACATTGGAAGTTCTCCAATGTTCACTCCATGGTCTGCTTAAAAAAAAAGAGGGTCTACAATTAAAAAGGCCAACTGCTCACGCGAGCTGGTGGTAGCTAATCATGTCGTTAAACACTCTGGTGCAGAAAAGGAAGAAAGTTTTCGTCTGAGGAACAGACTCAGCTAACTGGTTTACTTCTGAAGGATCCTATAATTACCCGCACAGCCACTCTCAACCACCTTCTATCTCCTTTGTTGAAAGCACTTTCAAAACACAGAGAGCATACACACTCGCAAGAAAACCAACGGTCCCACCCACAATACAATGCCCTCATCATCGAGGACGGGAGAGGGTTCCAGGGCCTACATCTGGCTGACCTCGGGAACACGCCGACTACTGCACTTTGTACCCGGCCGCTTCAAACATCTTTCCTTCTTTATAAAAAAACACAAAAAAAAACTAGGGTGTTGTTTACAATCCCAGGAACTTTTTGCTGTGGCTTCCAAGTTGCATCGAGGCTCAGCTTATGCAGCTTTCTATAGACTTTATCCTTATTGTTTCTTTAACGACTCTCTTTAGGTCATTTCGCTCTTCATGCAGGACTTGAGTCTCTGACCAGTAAGCAATAAAACCGTTGCATTCCCAAATGTGCTTTGCCATTTCTGAGTTTGACGCATTTGTGCTTACATTTCTTTTATGTTCTAATAACCCGTCGTTAACGCATCTCGAGGTTTGTGCCACGTACTTGAAACCACGTGTTAGCGATATCTCGTACACCGCACTCTCTACGCTAGGAACTGAAGGTCTTGATGAGCCTTCTGGCAGCCTCTTTGGTTTGACTGAAATGCCATCCACCTACTCCTTTTGAAACCTCAGTAAAACACTACGTCTCCTCCAAACGTTTCTGCAATCAGCGATCCCGTGGGAATATGGGATGACTGTTTTTTTTCCTAGTTTGTTCCTTGTGCTGAAGTCCATCTTTCAACTTCAATTTTATGAGTTCCTCTTCATACCCTGCAGCTTCTAGCCTCATCCATTGTCCCCTCATTGCATTGCCCCTAGAGAACAATTTGCGCAACAAATTTGTTTTCGAGGGTTTAACAACCCCCGCTATTACCGATTTAGCGGCTTTTTTCCCGTACTCCCAGCACAGACCCTGTTCTACATGTATGCATAAATCGAGAAACTTCAGGATCCCAGATTCAGGTTGTTCTGCTGTATGGTGTACAAGAGAGTCTACGAGACTAGGACCACTGAAACAGCGCCGCTACATTGTGGCATTTCTCGTCTATCTGTACGAGCCCCTAGACTCGCACTTATAGACTGTGCTCTCATCTTTTTGTGTCCTACTTCTCCGAATCAACCATTACGTGTTTACTTTTTGATTTGGTTAGGCCCACCTCAGCGCAAGTGTGCCGCAGTTCTTAGCAAAAGTGGCACTTTAGCGCAAGACGTAGCAGACTCATTCGTGGCGCAATTTGGCACAAATGGAGCAGCGTTTCCATCACTCACAATAAAAAGACAGAAGCGGAAAAAAAATCATTTTTTAACTTAAGTTCATACTTTGCATGAAGATACACTCACCAGATCCAAATATGTCAACACAGGCAAGTCAACACAAATGCAAGACGCATGCCGTGTTAGCTGGCTTTAAGCCAAGCAGCAGAAGTTTTTTTTGTTTTTTTCTGTTTCGCTACTTCCGAGATTTACGATTATTTGTTGCCAAGAGATTACCCTTCCCTCGTCACTTTTGTTCGGGTTCGGGGAAAATATGGCGGTACTAGACTCAACACCGGTAGGCTCGTTAGGAATTGTGGGCACCACCCTCCGCATTTATGCGCTTTAGATGGAGTGGTCGCAAAGCAAGGCAATCCCCGAAAGTGTTAACCTTCTTCGAAGCAAAAACAAAAATTCCAAGGAAGTGTAGTATCCCTCGCATACAGTTGCAACAACTCGCAACAAGAGCTTCCAATGCCTGGCGGAGGGTCACTCACTGGTAGGGTGACGACGCGCTGCTGCTTGATGTGCAGGGTGAAGATGGCATGGGACCGGGACGACTGGACGTTCATCGCCGTGCTGGCCGTGGTGCGAGAGAGGGCCCCCGATTCGAGGCACTTGATCACCTGCAGAGCAAAACGAGCCCCATGTTTTCTGACTTGGGCACCACTTTCAAAGCCTGGTGTTCCCACTTTTCTTCCAAGTGGTTTCTCCGGCTTTATTTTTTCCCACCAATTCGGTCCTTTCAGGTTTCGATTTTCGGACAAAAAATCTATCGGAGCTCACGTTGAAAAAATAGGGCATGGGACTTTACCAGCGAATGAAGGCCCCGTCCCACCAAGAACAAGAAATGGGTCCCCCTCCCAACCTAAAAGCCAGAGCCAAGGACCGGAGAAGGGCACCATTATGAAACTATTGTGGTGCAAACGCAGCGCACCAGCAGTTACCTTGGTGGGCCCATTCATTCGCTTCTCCTACCGGCAACATATTCCCTAAACCGAATCGAGCGATAACCTACTAAGTGTGCAAGCATTCATTTCAAGCGCCCTGGCTAGCAAACGCTCGTGCAGCCCAAGCCCATCCAAGCACGCCACCCAGAGTACCTCCATTCTTGCTAACAACGATGCCAATGGCCCAAGTTGTTTTGGAGCACCTTTCGGAGCAGCCCAAACAGTCTTTTGGAGCAGCAAAAGTGACCTTTGGAGCAGCCAAGACAGTGTTTCAGAGCAGCAAAAGCAGCTGTTGGAGCAGATATTCTTAGAAAAATAAAAATATTTGTTTTAAGTGCTGGACAAACGAAGGGCACTTTGCTTACTGCAATAAACAAATTATGGTCAAGCTAGATCACCTGGGGGTCTTTCAACTTGTAACTCAAATGCCAAAGACAGGACACCTTTTGCAACGCTTCAGTTAAATTGTACCCGCTATAGATAAATGAGGACCAAACTGCACATATTCAAGATTATTTGAAAATGACCTGCTTCCTAGTAAACCTCGCAGCATCAGGTTGACTATATTCGTTTTCACCTCAAGAACCGTAGTAAAAAAAGTCCGGGTTCTCGCGGAGTATTACTTATTTCCTTGTTTATGTAGAGAATTAAGATATATGTAGGTGAATCGTAGACTAGGTATACGTTATCTTATCGAGACCTACACGTTCCAAACGCCAAAAGCATCGCTTTTTCCTCCAACAACCATATCTCGCAAGAACTACTTCGCGCCGCGCAAGAACATTGCGCAAAACCCGATTTTTTTCTTGAGGTGAAAATGGGTGTAGTTATATAATATAATAAATGGAAGCGGCATCAAACTGATGAAACACCTAACTACTGCAGTGCAATGCGAAATTGTACACAAGACAAAGGTGCTTTACGGCAAGCGGGTGCTTTTCTTTTTTGCTTTTCGAAACTTTCTGCAAGGCTGCTGCACGCCTCGCTTTGCCTTCGGCTAGTAATGAATGTCCACTTTCAATGTCTGCAAAGAGACATTGAGACGCCCCACAAGTGTACAGTGCTGTAGGCGTTGCCGAGCAATTCTGATAAACCCCTTGCCGCCGTTTTACTGTTTCCCGACACGCCAGATTTTCATCAAAAGTAAGCAAACGTAAGACAATGAACTGCAAGAGTTCCCCAGCTGGTGCAATCATGTTCGCATGCACATGAGGGCAACTTCGGCAGGCTTGCAGTTGCACGTGCTTCGTCGCACAAACGGAGATGGCTGTTCGATCGAAACCGAAACCATGCCACTGCGCTCCGTCGCCAACTGATCCCCAAAATTGTATAAAAAATGCAACTGTCAAGCATACGACAAAAAAAAAAAAAGGATGACCGCATCTCCACGTTTTGAATGATGTTGATTGGGGCAAAGCTCTGGTGATGCTAATGATCCTGATTTCGTTCATAGATATTGCTGATGGTGCTGATTTGTTTTTATTGCTCATAGGTAGTGCTGAGTTCCGGGTGGCTTCTAGACTTCATTATTACTGCTATGGTCGGTGAAATGCAGAGCCTGTGGTTCTCCTAGCGGATCAGCTTGGATCCGCTAGAAGCCGTGGGAACGCATCGCCACTGCTTACGTCAACGGTCCATGTCAGAAAGAGAATGTGCGGTATGAAACGTGGTTATATATGCATTTGAGCATTTGACCGCAGCGCCCTCTCGTCTATAAACGTTGAGCCAATGCATGCAAAGTTTAACGCAATTATATACGCATTTGACAGCAGCGCCCTCTCCTGTATAGACGTTGAGTGGCTACATGCAACGTTTCATCCATGACATGCCCAGCTCTTGAGTTACTACCACATCTCAGAGCCCCCTACTCGTCCCGCAGTCGTGGCCGAGTAGTTAAGGCGATGGACCAGAAATCCCATTGGGGTCTCCCAGCACAGTTTCGAATCCTGTCGACTGCGCAAACATTTTTTTTCTTTTCTTAAGACAGATGGGATGGCAATCGATGTGAGCATGGACGGCGGACGGGCAAGGCTAGACCCTAAGGAGCTTTGCCCCTAAAAAAGAAACCTAAATTTTGGGTGACCCTGCTTGGCCAGGCTGGTCCTGCCAACTGGAGGATGGCAACGTATCAGCCATGTAGGGTATATCGCCCACGGCGCACGCAGATGTAACAAAGCCTCTCTAAAGCGTTTATTTTTTCTTCGTGCGGTGGCGAAACAGTTTATGGGGATTGTCGCCCCAAACGCCCCCCGGAAGCTTACGGCACACCCGAACCTCGTCTTCCTGCCGCCGAGCACACGTTTCCTTCCCCTCTAATTTGAATCGTCCAACTCTCAGAGGCACTCTCTCTACTTTAGGCCCATTTTCTCTCCATTCCTTGTTTTTACGACCCAATTAGCGGCCTTCACTCCCGTCACCCACTTGTGGTCCGTTCTCGGGTGCAGTAACTTGAGAAAGGGCACTTGCTCGAAACGTCTGCGTCGCTCTGCTTGTTTGTGCGTTTTCTTGAAACTGAAAGAACGCCCTTAGCCGGGACTAGGGGCACTTGGCATCAGTTCATTTAAAGATATTCACGTCGTCTCTTCTATTTCGGATGGGGAGATGAAGGAGCATAAACGTGTTTGATCTGATAACAAAGTGGCGGAGAAAAGATTGCAACAGCTGTTTGGATTTCTACATGTAGTGGTTGTTGTCACCTCGATCAGTGCTTATTCTGATGGAGAAATCTTGCCGCAACATTGCTCCCAAGTTTTCAAGGGAAGCTTCATGAAAGATGAAAGATTGTTTTCTACTGCGCAGGCATTAGAAAACGATTTGACTGGCGAGTGGATGGGAGTGGCATAAGAAAACATCTACAAAGATGATTGCAAGGTATCAGAATAATATTGACTTCACATTTGCACAATTTTTATAAATTGCATCTGATTTTGCCTCACCAAAGAAATCAAAAATTAGAATTGGCCGATTGTAAAGTCACACCATGATTGGATCCAGTCCACAAGGTCTGGACTTGAAACTAAACATTCGAGAGAAATCTCTCTGGTTGAGAAATACAATAATTAAAATAAGGGCACCAACCAAGATCTGCACGCGTGGCATTTTTTTTTTTGGTGTATACCTTATGGTGGCCGCGCTTATTTCTAAAGTTTTTCACGGATCAAGTATCTGCTATGTTAAAATTTTTAAACACTAGTCGCCTTCAATTTTGACAATGAAGAGACTATAAATTCCTTATCATATAGTGGATTTAGTCAGATACTGCCTTGAATTATGATCTTGTTCAAGGAGCTATTCATGGTAAATATTGATATAGGAAGAACCAAGCATGTTGATATTGATTATTAAGAAAATCTTTATGATTCACTACCGTGAACAACACAATGTCTTATATAGAGTGTATGCTAATATAAAGAAACATTAAGGAAGGTTCCTTTCGAATGTTTACTCATTCTTTTTTTGTAAAGTAACGTCCAAGTAACGGCATTACTTTAGCAAAGTAACTAACTGTAACAGGGCTCCTTTTTTGGCCAAAGTAATTGTAACTAACACTTCCATTCTAACAGTAACGTGCCCACGACTGGGCGTAGCCCTGCGGTAACATGCTCACTTCACACGCAGCGGACCCAGGATCGAACAAGCGTGGCAGGCGGCCTTCTAGCGGTTGGCTACATCGACGTCGGACCTCACCGGGGAGGGAAGAGCCGTAAAATTAAAGTCTCACCTGTTCGGCATTTTGAACGGTCTTAGTGGTCACTCCTATGGAATAGATCTCGCCCTTCACGTCCTCGTGGATTTTGATGCGAGACTTGCTTCCCTGGATATATCCAAAATGGGACACACATGGATCAGCCTGGGTCAAGATTGGAATAGAATGAAATCCAGCACTGCTCAATTTTGAACACACCGTGGAGTTTTCAAATCATGCGTACTTATGCTGCACCACCATCTGGTTCCTAAAGAAACTACCCGATAGACAGTTTTGCAACATTTAAGCTGCACCAATTATGCGGATGAGTGCAGTACGAGCACCTCAAAGGGGCCCTGCAATGACTTTTTTACCAATTTTTAATTTGCACCAAACCTGAGCGCATTGAAAGTAGTAACTTAATTAAACTTTTCTTTTCTCGAATTTCGCTTTATTTTAAAAGTTATAGGCAAATTAAGATTACAAAAAAAGGAAATAATAACCTCCTTCATGACGTCCTTGGTTGCTTGAGTGGCCGTGAACTAGAAGAGGGGTTGTGAGCTCATGCAAGCGCTCACGGCTGCTGCACTCCGTGTCGACGGCGCGAGAGGGCACCACTAAAGCATGTTCCGGATAGGCTGTATGCAGCAGGCAGCCAAAGCGGCTCTCATTGTATTTGCTGCGCGATTAAACACTAATTCGACATGACACTTCATTGGCCACAAACGACAGCAAACACGGGGTGAAGATCAGTTCAGAATGGGAGCCACTTCGCGCTGCCATACCGCGAAATGGCCAAACCGCCAGACAGAGCTGCTCGCCGAAGGCATTCTTAACGCTCGTAGCCGGTGGGATCATCCAGTCCCTACGACCGCAGCGCCGCCGCGTACATCCGGGACCTTTCCGTGTCGGCGCCTGATCCCACTACTCTTTTCTGGTATGCGCCGCCTTTTCCACCGCTTGGTGGCGAGTATGTCGACGGGTCATTTCTTGTTTTCGTACTTTATAAACTGCATCTGTTTCTTTGCTGATCTAAAATACTGAACAAAAACTACTTTTATAAATAATTGAAACAGTTCGCGCCACTTATATTTTGTATTTCGACTAAAACGAAGCTTTTAGCAGCTCTGGACAGTAGTGAGCCCAGGACCAAAGACGTCGCATATTGCGCGCTTTCGGTACTGCGGGTCACCCCTGTAGATGAAGGAGGTTTCCGCGTCGTCCGCCGCTTAAAATATGACGCACTGATATTTAGTTACTCTCTCCGTGCCCCCTGGCTTCCCCGAACCCCAAGAGACGTGGAAACCGCAAAAAAGGTAGACGCTTAAATATGGTTGCAGGGCCCCTTTAATAATGTACCCACATGACAGGAAAGAGCTGACGGCGTCCATCTGTGGGCAAAACGGTGGAAAGGGAAGTGCATAGAGAGGAGAGTAGTGAAGAGTGTCTCAACTTGCAGGTGTCTGCCTTCGTTTGTGCCACAAAATGGAGTGCGAACCAAGTACTAGCGCTGGGCCAAGTAGGAAGGAAGATTCACCACCTTGGGGACCGAGTTAGCGCAGCCACACACGTTTCACTTTGGAGAATGCCAACACTGACCCCGTAAGAGAGCCAGAAAGAGGGAGCGAAAAATAGAGGAAGCAAAAGTGAAAGCCAAAAGAGAAAAGTGAAGGGGTCAGCACTCGCGTTTCCCAATGCATTCCCTAGGGATCCACCAACGGATGTTTTTAACCCTCTCCGGGGTGGATCCAAAAGAGGGAACGGTTGACAACCTTAGACACGAGGCATTCAATCAAATGGTCCGACGGCAATCAATTCAAACCCCAAGGAAACCAGAAGCAACACTTACCTGATCGTCCTTTCCGGAGTTCAGGAGGTCAAAGATTTCTTCATTGTAAAGCTAGAGGAGAAAGCCAACAAACCATTTAAGGGGAAGGAGCAAATTCTTTCAATATGCTGAGAGTCATTTTGATTGCAAAACACTAGGCTTTCTATGCAGAGGGGAGAATGAATGTTCCTTTCGTGGTCCTTCGTAATCATCATGAAATGCTACCACACACTGTCGAGTGGCCAAAGTGACCATCGGAAGGGACACACAATATTGTAAGTGCCTAAGCGAGTCTAGTTCAGACTCATTCCCATCAACACATCACTGGGGAGAAATAAATGCAGCCCAGCTGAAGAACCAGTTGGAATGCCATCTGGCCCCAACTGGGAACCATTGGGGACCCTTTGGGCTGGATCAGCCAGTCCTCATTGGGAGTCCAATCCTTCCCAGTTGGGGTCAACTGGGACAAGCTACGGGACTAACCGGTTGGACTCGTTCCAATATTATTTTGGGTGCATGGTGTACTACGTCCAGGCCCCTCCTCTCGGACTGAGCCTAAAGGACTGAGCCCCTTGATTCGCACGTATCCGCAACCTTCGGGACTGGGTTGCCCCAAAGAACAATGCGCACACTAAATACATGCTCCTCTCCTTATGGGAGTTTGTGCGCTTCACTTGCATCCACCGCCAGGTGTGAACACAATCCTTCCCCTATTCCTCCACTGAGGCCATAGCACCATGCAGAAGAAAGGGATTCGTTCAGACTACTTTCCTACAGAGCGCCCCAAGAGCAAAGCACGGAATGACAAGGTCAAAGATGTGTAAAAAATGTACGCAATGCGAAGCAGCACGTTTGGAAACCCGTGTGCCCGCTTTCCCAGCAGCTACGATCACACGGGCAGAAGACGATCGTGGATGATACGAAAACCATAAAAAGTATGTATTTCCAAAACTTTTATACCATACTCTTTCTTATCTGCACTTCACAACACGACAAAAAGCACGAGCAGAGGTGTATACATGGCAAAGTAAATATAGTGGAGATGCAGAGCGCACGGCACACTGTGGTCGGCATGCACGCCTAAAAAAAAGCGCAAATAGCTTAATTTTTTTTTTAATATGAGGTTTTGAGACGAGTGGGGCACATACGCGAAATTAAACCATATATCATTAAATAGAGGTTATTTTGCTTCATTTTGATATCCTGCAACCAGGGCTTTGCCCACAGTGTTGGGCAGTGGTTTTGCCGCCCACCGGTCTGGCTGACCGTCCATCTCTACGAAGTCCAGGCCCCCTCTTTATTTTGTCTCCGCCGTACAAGACTATGATACGCTCATCTTAAAAATGCACCTTAGATTGTCAACTTTGGCAAATTTGTATGGCACTAGGCAAATCTGCAACTGCAGAATCCCTCGGAAACGAAATGGCAGCTGTGCGGCAGAGAAGGTGCAGATAAAAGCAAAAGTTGCAGCTGCACGTGCAACGAGGATATATACACAATGTCGCAGGGCGCAAAACACTCGGGTCGCCTGCCTTAGCACCAAAGCTTGCTGACCCTTCTCATATAGTCCACACATATTAGAGACCTTTTCACCCTCCGTCGCCTGGGCGCTGCCATCTTGGAATCAAGTGACGCGGCCGCCATTAGGTGGCCTCAACTCGTCACTCCAGTCTCCCCTCCGCGCCTTGCCGAAAGCGTTGCATTTGCGTTTTTTGTCGCTTTTCACCGCGTTTCTCGCCTTATTGTAAATCGCCGCCCGATGCTTACATTTATAACTTAATTGCATGCCACAATAATAATGTGCACGACAACATCTGCAGTTAATTTTGTAACATATTAGTACTATTTTAACCGCCGGAGTACCGGATACGTGCGAGAAGGGAAGAGGGTACAGGAATCAGCGTCAGCCCTGCGCATATTGAGCCCAATTATTTATGACAAATGAAGTTTGTTCAGTGATAGTGGCGGCATATTCGAAAGAAGTAGAGTGCAATGTACAACTGCGCACTTAGGATCTCAAGGAATGTGACCAAAATACTCGGCGTATAAAGCTATGTGCGTTTCCTGAAAGTCTCCTGCCTTGCCTTCAGAACAAATTGAAAAGAGTTGTTCTTGATTAGATACGATATATAAGAGATATAAGTAACAAACGTTCAACTCACATTTTATCTGATGCTCGGGATAATGGTAACCTCCACATCGGGCGATTTGTTTATTCACGACATTACACCTAAACCTCCCAGTCGTTCTTGGATGGTTTTTGCAATATAAACGTTTGCTCGGGTTTGCTCGGGTTTGCTCGGGTATGAACTTAAAGGAACTACACCATGTTTAGTCCCATATCAGCAGTCATTAAAGCCATGTTGAATATACCTGAGACTGGGGTAGAAAAACATAAAAGTCGAAGAAACAGAACGGGACAGGACGACGTCTCAAACTCAGCTACCAGGTTTATTCAGTCCTCCTCCTTATATAGTCCACAAACAGCCCACCACCAACACAAAGGGGCAACTCTAACCAGTTCAACCGCCAAACCCTCCAGACAGACAGTCACTACCAACACAAAGGGACAACCTCTAAACAGTACAAACGCCAAACCCTGTAATTCCAAACTAGCGCTATGGACGGCCTTCATGCCGATTCACAAAGATAACTCAGCAATCTCCCCCAAAATATAACAAAAGGACCATTACCTCTTCCAAAGTAACAAGGATCCACAAACACATAAAAAAAAAGAAACTTTTTTTACTTAAATTGTTTTCCTTTCCTCCTCGACGAAAGGATGACACGCACTTAACCTAAAACGGTGCAAAGTTGAACAGTACAGCATTTCCCTCTGCGTTTGGACTGTTTAGAGGTTGTCCCTTTGTGTTGGTAGTGACTGTCTGGAGGGTTTGGCGGTTGAACTGGTTAAAGTTGCCCCTTTGTGTTGGTGGTGGGCTGTTTGTGGACTATATAAGGAGGAGGACTGAATAAACCTGGTAGCTGAGTTTGAGACGTCGTCCTGTCCCGTTCTGTTTCTTCGACTTTTATGTTTTTCTACCCCAGTCTCAGGTATATTCAACATGGTTAACATCCACCAGCTCGCCTGCACCCTTACTATTGTATCTCTAGTCATTAAAGGCTGTTGAGATTTTTTTAACACCAAATTTAATTTTTTTTTACTTATTTTAACACAAAGACCCCCATGAAAGAAAACAAATCTGTCACAGGCAGCTTGATACTGCCTAGGGCTCACGAAATGTTGTGCCGAAAATAAGTAGTCTATATAGAAATCAGCCGATTTTAGCGTTGTTGATTCTAGATCGCATCAGTTTCCATTGAAATCTGTCTATACAGGTTCATAAAGTCGTGCCTAGCATTCCACTTCAGCCAAACGTACGGGAGATCACTTCTCTCGAACCCTTTAATTTTATTTGGCAAAGTTTATACAAAGAAAACATTTCAGACTTCAATTGATGGGACTTTCACTTATCTCATATGCCGAGCACGTCCTAATTAAATCTCAGTAAAACAAATAGCTCATTTTCTAACGCCAACGTTGTGAAATGCTGTTAATAAGTACTTTAGCAGGGTCAATATCTAAAGGAATTTCTCAATCGACCTAGGACAGACTATCAAAATATTTATCGAGCACTCAATTTCTTTAAAGAAATCAACCTAAGACAATATCACTTATTTTTTAGAATATCTGCGTTATCATAGGATACCATTTCAAGTCTTTAAAGTTCACAAAAAGTTGATGTCCTCGAAAATCAGACAGTGAGCACGGAACTGGCGATTTCATGTGTTTTTTGCGATTCAGGAGGTTTTTAATCACGTTGTGGACCTGCATTCATAATTATACATCTCCTCATTAGTATTTTTATTAGTTCATTTTTCTGAAAACTAGGGTCAGTGGGTACGACCGGAGACGATTGGAATCCTCCTAGTGCATCATAGTCGTTTCCCCGCCAAACCTGATCAAAATTAACGACAAACATGACCAGATGCTTCGTAAAGTGTTCGTAAAAAAGTCAGCGATTATGATCCAAAATCACTTCGTAGTTCTCAAATTGGCTCAGTATACGAGTTTTATTAGTTGTGTGCTATAACGGGCACATTTCTATCACGAAATTACGCGAAACTGGCGCAACACATAAACACAGCCACAACCACGCTGACACCGAAGCCAATCCAATTGAAGCCACCCCATGGCGACGAGGGCGTCAGCACTCTCTATCCGCCGGTCTGGTAACTACTGACATGAAAAGGTTTATAGCAACAAGATGGTTGTGCTATTCGCACCAACTTGCTTACCCCACTACATCCTGCTACTTTTCGGCCAAACAAATTGGCACCAACGTTGCGCCGAAAGTTAATTCCCCTTTATCAACGAGGAAACTGATAGCTCGGGCATTGCTACATGGCCGAAGCACTATGGAAAGCCCATGCACACATTCGGAACTTCCCATCGATCGCTTACAATAACGACCGGCAGTTGGGTACTTTAGCACCATGTTCCGAAGGGAAAACTTCGGCCATCGGATGTCCAAAAAAAGCATGCTTTTCGCATAAGGCTCGTAAAAATACTATTAGAAACCGGAAAAAAAAGGCCATCCGCGTCGAGTCCTCATTTCAAACTCTGATCACATTCGACCCATTGAAGAGCACGGCGAAAGAGCCCAAGTATGCACCTCATCTCGCCACACTGCCCTTTTCCGCGCTACAAAATTCGTCTGCTACAGGCGTCAAAGAGACTCGCACAAACTTGGCATCCGAGGCCAGCAACGGCCGCACCATCTTCGGCGCGTGTTACCAATGGTGCCATGTGAGCCTGGGCTCCCAGCTAGGCTACAAAAGTCGCTCGGGGAAATAATAGAATCTCGGGCTCGAGAGTGCATCGAGCCTCGTCAGAATTGCCGACGATTCGCCGGGCAACCGCTTTCCAATCTCGACGTCCACCTCCACGACGGCGCATCCCACTTTGACTAGGGTCTGTTGTGACCGTAGGGGTCAGAGTGCGACCCCATGGTCGCCAGGCAGAAAGAACACAACCACCCCATGTGACAGCTCACAACAAAGTGCCTTTA